CGCTCCTTCACTGTCAGTAAAGGAGGTCAGCCTTTGCTGGAAGAGCTTTGCAGCGTCCCGAACGTCAGATCTGAGAGGGGTCTCTAGAGCCTGCATCACCACCAAGCCCTTCAATGTACACTCATGAAACTTCATATCCCAGGATTCATCACTGCTGATCGCTCAGTGTAAACCAGACACTGTTCGTTCACAACTCCTCGAGTCTCCTCACACCAGCTAGCTTTCACTGAAATGTTCCATGTCATTGCCACTTATTAGCGTAAGCGTTAATCTCGTCTACCTAAACACGATATCATCATATTCGTCTCCCTACAGTAAAAGACACAAAACCCCACAAGTGTAAAAACCAAATGGAAACATGAAGAAAACTTTTCTATTCTACAAGAAAACAAAAAACCAAAACAGACAAAAACAAAGGTCCTTAGATATGTGCTCCACAGAAAAACATGAAGTCTTTAAGTCCGTCTCTTGTTGTAAGTAGGTTTTCATTGATGCAAGTTATCAAAAAAATTAAATATCATATACTGTATAGGTTATTATTACAGTAACAAGGTTCCATGCGAGCTCAGCGTCTGTACAGAGGTGAGGATTCAGTAGTAAATAACAAGGCGACGCAGACCTATCGTGCCAGCATGTTACAGAGCCGTGGAGATCTGGGACGGGGACGTGGAGTCTGCTGGTCAGAGGTGCCACGTTCACACGGTGGTGACGAGAAATCATGAGAAGCTCAACCATAAAGGCTGCTTCATGTCACAATCCAGCGTGTGGTCTATAGTTAAAGGACTAGTCTGCTCTTAAAACCTATTTTTTAATATATAGAGATAGATATTAAAACTGGTGAGGTGTTTTAAACTTTATAGTGTATTTTGTTTTAATTTGCCTCGTCTACTTAAGTCAGTTTCCTACTGTGCGTTCCCAGAATGACCCCAGAGAGCATGCGACACTGGAAACATCTAGACTTTGGCGAGCTATTCCCTGGAGCGAGGAAAAAAACAACCCCATCACCAAGCAACGAAACGAGTGTGTAGCACAGCTGCATCCAGTCAGCAGCTGCAGACGGGATGTGATTGTGTTGACGGGTAAATTTCCTGCATCACACTGAAAATAAGTCCTGGGTTTGAAATGCTGAAAAGGAGAAAGGGGGAAAAGATCTGCACACTGTGTTGATAACTCCCCGTTCAATTTAAAAAGATAAAACAAACCT